TCCTCCAGATGTGCTTTAAAAATAGACATAATGAAGGCGTTTGATAGTGTTGATTGGGATTTTCTACTCTGCACTCTGACTGCCATGGGTATTCCAAGCAAGTTTGTGAATTGGGTGAAAGGTTGTTTGGATTCTACTAGTTTTTCTGTCTGTATTAATGGGGGATTAACTGGTTTGTTTCAAGCCAGGAAGGGACTGAGGCAGGGGTGCCCTCTCTCTCCCTATTTGTTTACAGTTAGCATGGAAGTGCTTAGTTGTATGCTTAACAGAGCAGCTGCTCGCAACATCTTGCCATATCATCCACAGTGTAAGAGAATCAGCCTAACACACTTGTGTTTTGCTGATGATCTGTTGATCTTCACCAAAGGATCTGTGGAAGGGGTGTCTGTGGTTGCTGAAGTGCTATATAAATTCTTCATTGTCTCAGGGTTAAGATGTAACCAGAGTAAAAGTGAAATCTTTAGTGTTGGGGTTTCTGAGAGCTTGAAGGAGGAACTAGTTTTATGCTCTGGCTTTAAAGCTGGAAGTTTGCCAGTCAGGTATCTGGGCTACCTCTAAACGTAGGGAAACTATCTGCTGCTGACTGTAAGAACCTGGTCGACAAAATTGCAGGGCGAATCAAAGGGTGGCAGCCAAAGCTGTTGACATATGCAGGGAAGCTTGAGCTTGTTATTTCAGTACTGGCAAGCATGACACAGTACTAGATGAATGTAATTCTTCTGCCAAAGAAGGTGATAAAGGAAATAGAGGGGCTATGTTCACAGTTTCTATGGAGTGATTTTGAAAAGAAGAAAAGAGCTAAGGTCTCATGGAAGACAGTAGCCTTACCTAGGGCTGAAGGAGGCATGGGGTTCAAGGATCTTTGCTCCTGGAATAAGGCATGTCTTACCCGACACATCTGGGGGATACTTTCTGACACAAACACCCTTTGGATAGCTTGGTTAAAAGAATATCGCCTTAGAAATTTGAGCATTTGGGAAGTAAACACTCGAGGGTCTTGGGTGTGGAACAAAGTTCTTAAGCTAGGAAGTGAGATAGTGGGGAAAATGTGTAGAACTGGCAGAGGAGTAGAGTGGGAGGGTGAGCTGATGGATAAATTCAAGATTAGCAGAGTCTGGGAAAGTTTTAGACCACGAGGAGTTTCAGTGGAATGGTCGAAGTTGGTTTGGAAAGGTGGTATCCCCAAGAACTCGACAATCACTTGGCTGATTCTGCTGGGGCGAATCTATACTATGGATGTGGTGCAACGTTGGAATCCTGAAGTGGTAGGGCTGTGTTCGCTTTGTGGTCAGGTGTTGGAGACTACGTCTCATCTGTTTTTCCAGTGTATATATGTGTAGGAAGTTTGGCGCACTGTTTTCCCTCCCCCATGGCGGCTTCCGGGTTTCCAGGGACTTGCAGGGCGCGGTGGATTTGGCAATTCGACGCTTTAACAAATGTTTGGTGGGCAGGATCCTTTGGTGCTTAGTTCTGAGTGAGATTTGGCGTGAACGATGCAGGAGAGTTTTTGGAGGTAAGCAATTGGCAGTGGTAGAACTTGTTAGGAAACTGCAGGAAGTGATGGAAGCAAGAGAATCAGGGGACCCTAGTTTTGCAGAGTTAGCTATGGTTAGACTTTTGTGGTATAAAGAACAGTCCTGAAGCAAATTTTTGTAGTTGTGTTGTTTTGAGTTTTTTTCCTTTACTTTGTTTATATCTAGTGTGAAGCTAGGTTGTGAGCTTTGTACCTTGTGAGACTGTGTACAGATCGTATTTGATGATATAAGATTTCACCCATTCATCAAAAAAAAAATATATATATATATATATATATATTTTTACCCGCCCAATAATCAATGTTTGTCGTATTGTGAATGTTGTCTGATCCTGTTAATTATGTTATGTTGTATTATTAAATTTTTTATTGTCGTAATTGTTTTATCAATTTGTTTGTAATCGGCATTAATTCACTAATATAGTTTATCATCAATTTAGTTCATAGTGATTTGTAATATTTTGAAGTGTTGTCGTCAATCGTGCATGATTTGATAATGGCTCGTCTTATTATTAAGCGTGTGCTATTATTAATCTGTCTGCTGAATTTACGTTTAATATTATTAATCTTAGTTTATTATTAACGTTTCTTCATCCATTAGTAATATTTTCAAAGTCATGTTCAATTTTTTACTATTATTAATCTGTAGGTTGAATTAATGTGTAGTATTAACAATCTTTGTTCATTATTAATGATTTTTCAGCATTAGTAATATTTTTAACATAATTCTCAAATTTTTGTAGTGCTACACGATATACCACAATCCAAGATCTGTAAGAACAAACTTGTTGTCGGCCCGCTATGTCCGTCGCTTGCCATCGAAAAGAAACGTGACGAAGTTGTCAACGTAACGGAGGAGCCTGTGGATTGAGCAGCTGGTAGATTGAGCTTTTCAAATCAATGTAACGGAGTTGTCAACATTTTTAACCGTACCATATTAGTGATTTGGCATACGTTATTAACATTTTTTAGTGACGCTACTAGAGTTATCAATAAAAAACACGATTTAATGGTCGTGTTGTCAACATTATTAACCTCTGCGACTCTATTGTTAATTATATTACTGAAATTATTAACCGGTAACTAAAGTGTTGTGGCAATAAGGGGAGCCTCTGATTTGAGATTTTCAGAGCAACGTAATGGAGTTGTCAATGTTGTCAACAATACACATTAGTTTTTTCCCATACTTTATTAACTTTTTTCCGCGATGCTATTATTAACGTTCTCAATCAAATTGAAACGCAATTTACCGATCGTGTTGTAAACATTATTAACCTACCACATCATTATTATTAATTAGATCATAATTATTAACCAGTTACTAAAATGTTGTCACACTAAGATGAGCTTCTGATTTGAGATTTTCAAAGCAACGTAACCGAGCTATCAACGTTTTAACAATACATATTAATGTTTACACCTACATTATTAACATTTTTTCGTGACACTATTATTAACATTCTCAATCAAATTGAAGCACGATTTACTTGTTGTGTTGTAAACATTTTTAGTGACGCTGTTATCAACTTTTCAGCTCAGTATTATTAACTATATACAATAGCATTATTAACATTTCCTACATAATTTACAACAAATGACGAATTCATTATTAACAAATTCTCTTCATTTTTCAACGTAAACAATAATATTATTAACAAACTCCACCTCGACTGCGGGAGACCGGCAAGATGGGGCGAAGAATGGATGGTGAGATGTCGGATGGCGGCGGGACGACGGCGGAGTAGGCAGGATGACGGCGGGACGACAGCGGGAATGGGAGAGGGAAGCTGACGGGAAATCGACGGCATGATGGCGCCGTGATGACAAGAAGATGGTGACCTGACGACGTGACCACGGTACGCCGACATCGAGATGGCGACTTGACCACGGGACGCAGACGCCGCGATTGCTGACGAAGCTTGGTTGTCGAGGAACAGGACGACGGGTGTTGCGGAGTCCGAGTCGCCGACTGGTGTTCGAAACGAGCTTCGCGTTAAGTGGATGCCGATGGCGAGAAGGTTTAGGGTTAGAGAGGACAATCGTCTTCCCGAAAATGGTGCCCGCCGCATCTTAATAAAATCATATGTTTAATTTTTGTTTTTCATTTTTATTATTAATTTCATTGATATTTACTATATTTCTTTCTTGCCATTATAGGTGGTTAGTTAATGATTAGTAATGTTTTTCTCTCCCCTCTTCCTATTTCCTGGAATAGGTTTAAGATCCTCCTTAAAAAATGGGGCTTAAGGACCAGATCTGACCCGTACGAAAGGCCAGCAACATCGTCGTGTTCTTCTTTCGTTCTCTTCCTTAGAATTTCTCCCTCTAGAAATACTTGGTTTTGTATGTTAATTCCCATATCCTAAAACGATGTCGTCTCCTTCCAAGAAAGCAAAGCAGATAGAAGAAATTACTCCCGCAGTCACAAAATTCAGTCTGCCTGTGATCGCCCAGACGCCCACCCCGCCGCTTCCCTTTGACCAATTGACCCTTCTCTTCCTCCCCCACGAAACGCAGCACGTGGTCTTCTTTTCGGCCTCCTATTTACTATTTAGGCACCCCTCGCTTTCCCTGTAGGATCCGGCAGGATTGATGGTAGGGATGACAAAAATATCCATAACCGTGGATATCCACCCGAATCCGACCTAATCGGGTAGGGTATAACCCGAACCCGAAGGACTTTTTGTGAGTACTGGTAAAACCCGAACCCGGATATTGCGGGTAATGGGTGGGCATGGATTTCTCACTATCCAACCCGAACCCGCCCGATTATACACATGCATATGTATTTTGTATATAAATAATCATTATTTTTCTCTAACATATTTTATATTTAGCATATAAATAGAATATTTTCATGAAATTATGTTGTTTTGATTAATTTTCTTCATTCTAGTGAATTATGGTCGTACTTTTCCTCTTATGTAATGTGAGAATACGTGTGAATGTTAACATATTGGTTGGAGTTATAAAGAAAAATTAGTACTCATGGATAACCGTGGATACCCAAAACCGAACGGGTATGGACATGGTTTTGATTTTCTACCCATTTCTTATGTGGGTATGGATAAAACTCGAACTACTTTAGGTAGGGTAACGGATATGCACTATCCGCGCCCAACCCGACCCATTGTCATCCCTAGTTGATGGAAGGAATCAATGGCGAAAACCGAAGCACTACGGGTACATGCCAAATTCCAAAAGCTGCCTCGCCCTGGTCGTCTTCGATCTCGACTACACCCTCTAGCCTTTCTACTGCGAGTTCTACGACAAATCCGACTCGCTGCATCTCTACCGGCAGGCACACAGGGATACTATTGGCGCTGCTGAGTGAGAAAAAGATGGTCGACCCTCCCCAGGAGTCGATCGCCAGAGCTTTTCTAGCTATAGTAAGCGGAACGATCAGCCTGTGAGAACCGGCATTGTGAGAGCTGGAGATGCCATATATATATATATATAAAGAGTGGTGGTTTGATCATGTAATCATCACACCGATATACAATATTATACATCATGCAATGCATGTCTTGCATTGATCAAATTGGAATAAATTAATACACACACGATCGAGGCTCAGGAACAATTGGACCGCCGACCATTCTCTTGGCAAGTTAGCTTGATCATTCATCATCATACACGTCACCGTACAACAACACTCTAGCCGGAATACGGCAACCTGCAAAATGGAAGGGAAAAAAAAACAGCAGTATATTAACATCTTGAAGGTATCGTCAACATGCATGCATATATGATCGTAAATACAGTGGGAAACTAGATCAGAAGAACGAACTAACCCCAATTTGAGGGAAGTGTCGGAGCTTTCATAGTCGTGAGGAGGGGCTCCATTTGAGTTGCAGACGTTTGTTACAGATTCTGATGATTGCCCGTCCTCGTACACCACGTTCTCTGAATCTGCCGTCACGACCGCCGCCTCCGCCTCCATCATCGCTGCTTCTGCGGCAGGTCTGTCGCCATTGGTCATCTCTTCTACCTGACCCCAAAATTCAGCATATCTTTTGTAAAGAGAGGCAGATTGTTATCGTTATCTCTTGTATTACTGTGATTCTCGACAAGCAGCAAACAATTCGCTTACCTGATGTCTTAGGCGCGCATTCTCTTCCATCAGTTGCATTCCCTGGCCAAATCAACAAGTATCAACTCTGGCATTAGACATATAGCTTTTTCTAACACAATTCTCATTAATCTGTCCCCATGCATAATGGCCGACATGATGTAATGGCCGAGATTTCAAGCTAGGCTGACCTTTCTTTGAAGCTCATTGATGTCATTCGTAATTTTATCACCCTGTAGAAAAAGGATAAGAAAACAAGTTAGGAATGGACTATTGATGAGATGATGGGATTTGTATAGGTAAAAAGGAAGGACCTTCTTTTCCATGACGCGGGTCAAGCCAGACTCGAGAGACTTCTCCAGATGCTGCAGTTCTTCAATGTTCAGTCCATTGAGATCTTCTCCCCTCATTTGCCTGTTCCCCCATCCAAATTAAAACCCCCCATTTTGCCTTTCACTGTGAGATGAGTACACAAAAGCACGGCTAATCCTTCTAACCTGAGTTGGCGCGTTTTCTCGGCGACTTCCTTGCTCAGCCGAGTGAAGTTGCTGTTCTCCACCAACTGCAGCTCCAGTGACGGCTGTTCTAGTTTCTCGATGTTCTTGGAGTGCAAATTGTGCCTCTCCAGTATTTCCTTCATGCTACAACGACATGCACAAAGTCAAAACTATGAGACCCGCCCCAAAAAGGTGGACAAACATAAACAATATTACCTAAACTCAGTTTCTCGGGAACTAATTAAAGACCAACCCTTTATTTTTTTAGGGAAGAGATCATGCATGGCAAAGTATTTCATTTCTTAAGAGATTGCAATCCTGGCAAAAAGCCTGTGACTAATCAAACTAAGGGGAAAAAAAGGCAAAACTAACAAAGGAACAAGCAGGCAGTTCATGATGGTAGGCCTCCAATGGAACAATTGAGAATCTTCACATTGATTAGGCAAACACTTTGTTCCAACAAGGACCACATCCTTTTTAGCAAACCACCTACTCTATACTATACTCTTTATAGATAAGGAGAGGTAGCCCAGAGGGAATCAATGCCCAGAAGTTGGTATAGTCCTATTAAGTCTTTGGTGGAACCAATTTATGAAACTCTAACTCCTAATAACCAAGGTACTTGAAACCATCTCTAAGACAACAATAGTTGACCATTTCGAAAATACAAAGAAAGAGTGGAGTTAGACGGACACTAGTAAGTTCCATCCAAACCTTTTGTTTTAAGGCAATAGAAAGTTCGTCTTAATAAGATTTTTGGGCCCTTTTGTATTTCTTATGTTTCCCGTTTGTTCCATTGATGTCAATTTAGCTATCCTTAACATATAACAACATATTAAATTGAATGCCTATATCAATCACAATTTCAACTTATCATAATTTCGTATGTTCGGACTATTCTTATCACGAAAGTAAAAGAGATATAAATCGTACTCCTTATCAAACAAAGCTATACTATACTTTTGCTTCAAATTCTATCACTTAATGAAGAACTCCTAACTTAAGTTACACACTTCGTAGTCCACAAGACTACAACTCACCATAACCAACATCTCTACACACACAAAGTCTATTATAAATCATATGTACTTCAAGTTCACTTGCATGTGCCTATCAGCAACGTAACGAGTCTACCATACCACCACGTATTCATGTTTAGGACGAAATATAAGATTGTATATATATAGCCTGCCCTTACAAGTACAGTTTGCACATGGCAACTGTGGTCCTCGCTAGCTAAGCTAATATATGTTTGGTTTCCAAGGCACACCAGGCAGCAAGCTTTTGCTACTTTCCATGAGACCCTCACTATGCACATTCACATATTAGTTTCGGTTCCAATGCAATTCATCCAAGATATAGCTTTCGACACCGGCGGTATCACTTTTCTTAACTAAATGAGACGAGTCTTGTCCAGTTTCGAGGATCAATCAGCATTAGACTTGCGAAGAAAGAATGGGGGGCATTAAACAACATCACAAAAAGTACTTCACACGATAATGTTTTGCAAAATATGGGGCACTCAGGAAATTTCCTACCTTTTCATCAACCCACAACTTCCTAGAGCTTGAGGTTGCACTACGTCTATACTTGCATGGACCACTAAACCGACAAGGTAAACAGAACCCAAGAAAGAAGAAAGCATACAACCACAAAAAAAAAAAATGAAAATAATAAAGACCATAACAATTAATATTCCACAATATGCTGTATGCAATGTGAATATACATGTATTTATGTATATATATATATATGTATATGGCAAATGTTAATCTTGTATGCATTCACTTTTATTAGATGTACTTTATTATACTTTGACGAATCAGAATCGTCGTTGTTGTTTTAAATTAAATGATTCTTATAGTTTGAATTTAAAGAATTAAGGATTGGAGTTCACCTATTATAAATTGGAGCATAGTATCATGCCTCAAATTTCGATTAGATGTATGATAAATTTAGCATATGTAAGACTATGTTGAGCTATGTAAATAGATTTGCATGCTAAATTCTCAAGTTTTTCAATGAACCCACCTTCAAACATGTGGTTGTTGTCTGAATACTTGCAACTTGCTTTTCTGAGGAAGACATTACAACCATTTAACAACACTCAAGGAATGATTGCAAGAAGAAGAAAAAAACACTCATGGAAACTGCAACATTTTCTATGATGATATAAAAATATATAAACTTTTGAAGAGGTCGCAACTCTCAAAATAAAAATTGTTCAGAAAAGTATAACTTCAGTATTTTGATGAAATCTGAATGATCACAACCCAATACATCCCCACCTGATAATTATTATAGATATTGAAATCTTATTAACTCTCTTTCATTTTAACTAACATGGGTTCACAAATGACAGCGTGAGGGGTTCCCCAATCTCTCATTGACTACCAGCCAGTGAGATTAAAGATGAATTCCTGCTACTGAGAATTTCCCAGTCGCGTAGTCTATGAGCACAATTTCAAACTAAGATTCTTGGGGATAATGCCAACTGTTTCCCAATAAACAACGATAACATTTTTAGATATATATAGTTTTAAATATACATTATTTTACTATTTTTCTTTTCTGACTAATGCCATCAACTTCAACTATCTTCTTATCCTATCCTCTGCGGAGAACAGTATTCATTCAAAAATGGAGGACCCAGCAGTAGAAGCAAGCAGGCACCATACTTGTTCTTCCTTCCTCAGTAGATAAGATACATACACACGCATCAGTCAATCACTCAGAACAAGCCCCTTTTTTTTTAAACTCTCTAGAACGCTTGAACTGTATTTCATGAATGGCTTCCCAGAAAATTAGAGCAGCAAAATCATCTTTTCTTCCTTTCTCATCATGGTGGCATTTATAGTTAGTACTACACAAATGGCCAAAATTAGTCAAAAGTTCAAAGGAGGTTTCCATGTACTCAAGCTTCAATTATAGAAACCCTAATATTTTACCCAGCTGAGAGAAAGGAAGGAGAACCAAGAACACACTCAAAAAGTGAAGTGAAATGAGCGTTTCTGCTATGTAAGGAAAGGAAAGCAGGAAATTAATGATGACAGCAAAACTTAAAGCGGAGAAATAGAGAGAGGTAGGGTTGGATTGAGGTAAGAGAGAGAACCTGGAGCTGGAGTAGTGAAAGAGCTTGCCAGTGGAGGAGAAGATGATGAGGGCCACGTCAGCATCGCAGAGCACAGAGAGCTCCTGGGCTTTCTTGAAAAGTCCCCTCCTCCGCTTGGAAAAGGTCACCTGCCTGGCCGTGGCGTTGTCGATCTTCTTGATCTGTATCTTCTCCCTCGCCATTTTTAATTTGGGGCTGCGATGGGATAGGATGCTACCTTCTACCCAGAGGGGAAAAGAGGGTAAAGGAAGGGAGACGGACAGACGGTTATCGGAGGGAAATTGGAGCCATTTTTTTTTTAAATCTCTTTTGCCAAATTTAGAGTGGCGAGATTTGGGGGGCAGGGAAGAAACCGCAGCAACCAGAAACCCTAGCTAAGTTATCCGAGAAACTAAGCAAAAGAGGGAGGAAGAGGATCAATCAAATCTTCCCCTTCTTCTACTTCTTCTTTTGGGTGTTGTATTATTTTGGGTTTCTCTCTATCTCCTGCTCTCCAGATCCAAAATAGAAAGGAGGGGGCAAAAGAGAAGCTATAAAAGGAAAGCGGTGAGCTGCAGAAACCCGCCAATCGGGAAGTAATGGGAGGGAGGGAGTGAGCTGGGATTCGGATTGGGATTGGCTCTGCTAGAATGAATGATGATTGATGTCGATGAATGAAGGTGAGCCAGAATAAATAATAATATTTCTTTTTTGGTGTTGTTTTTTTTTTTTTTAATTCATTTCATTTTAGAGTTGAGAGAGAAAGAGATAGGGAGGGTAGGTGCTCTGCTTCTTTTCTTGGGGGTGATGTGTGTATGTGTTTTGGCTTTTGGGCATTTTGGCGCTGTGAGCTGTGGCTGTTTGCTGTTTTTTTTGGAATTCGAATTTTTTTTTCTCACTCTCCTTTTTCCTTTTTATCTGGAGTAGGAATGGCATTGGCAGTGGGGTGGTTCTGAGCTAGGGATGGCAACAAAAACCCGAATTTACGGGTACCCATCCGACCTAACTCGATCAACGCGGGTAAAATTCATGTTGAGGGGTTTTGGGTTGGGTTTGGGTTTAAACCCGCTACACTATTTACCGGGTTTGGTTGGGTTTGGGTTTAGGTAAATTTGTTTCATGGGTATCTGCCCACACACATATAATTACTTTCCCGGTATATTTAATATTCTAAATAATATATCTTCCTTAAACAACTAATATTCTTTATGTTTGTGGAGACATGTATAATTTGTTCTTTCTAATTGTTTAGAATGAAGTTGATATTATGGAGCGGAGAGTGAAGAAACTTAGTTGACGAGGAAGAAGCTTTCAATTAATCTTGTTTGTTTATAGATGTTTATCTTTAATTTTGAACAATTTGTATTGATCATTTGCGGTTTGCTTGTATGCTCTAGATTGGTGTTTTTTGTATGAATAATTTGTATGAGAAAATTGATGTTAAACTTTTATTTTGCAAGAAAATTGTTATTGTAAATTTTTTACCACAAAAACTCACAAGTACCCATGAACGAGCGGATACCCAACGGGTTGGGTTGGGTTTGAGTTTTTCAAACCCGACGGGTTTTACCCCGGGTTTTTTTGGCGGATAAACCCATGGATTTGGATTTGGGTTTGACAAAACCCGCCCCAACCCGACCAATTGTCATCCCTAGTCTGAGCTGAGGAGTGAGGCGCTCTAATTAAATTCATCCTCATCTCTAGTTTTTAATTGGGTAAATTGCAAGTTTGGTCACTAGGTTTGTCAAAAACGTTTACGTTTGATAATTTCATGTTTGAGGCCCCAATCAATTGGGCTTCCTTGTATGGGTTGATCCGGCAAATTGGATGACGTATCGGCCTCCCCAGCAAATTGAAGATGGGTTTCGACTCCCTCGCGAAGTTAAGAAGAGGGGAGAGGAGCCCTAGAGGATTGTCTAATAGCTCGGTTTGTCGGTCCTCAGCCTAAGCGAGTGGCTCTACAACAATGGGCAACAGGTCTCTGGGGTCGGGATGGTCCAGTGAAGGTGTCGAAGTTTGGTCCTGCGCTGCTCGTGTTTCAGTTCCCATCGGCGGCAACAAGCAAATGGGTTTTTTCCACAAGTCCCTGGCATTTCCAAGGTAACCCGATCTAATTTCGCAAATGGTCACCGGGCATACAACCAGTTGTTCCACTAGTTGAAACTCTACCAATTTGGGTTCGAATCTGGGGTATTCCACTTGAATACCACTCGTTTGAAGGGCATGAATGGATTGCGAGTATTCTAGGGCCACCTCTTTGGATGGATAAGTCGACCAGGGTGGGAGCATAGTTAGGGCCAAAATATGTGTTGACCTAGTAGCTCAGAGTGGGTTTCCTTCCAAAGTTCGTTTATATCCTAAGGATGATCCATCTTTTGAAGTGGAGATTGAATATTTGAACAAGCCTTTGGTATGTAGTAGGTGTGAAGTTTATGGTCATGACTGTGAATGGCTAGCTAAAAGGGGGAAGAAGTGGGTGCCCAAGCAGAGGTCTGAAGTAGTAGTCCAGCCATCAGTTGAACAGCCTGATGAAAATCAACTTGGTCTGAACAAAGGGAAGCAAGTTATTCTGAGTAGTCCTCTCCACGACGAGATAGTGGAGTCTTCTAGTACAAATGTTGTTGACCCTGGGACTGAAGACATAATCTCTTTTCAAGCTGCTCTCATTATTGGGAGTCTTACTGGGAGTTTTGTTGAGGCAGTCAAGGGATCATCAGTTGCTACTAAGAGTCCTTAAGCTCCTAAGCAATTGTCTGTGAGGCCTAGCTCATCAAATTCATCTGGGAGGCTGGATGAGCATACCATTCCTGTAGGTAAAGAGACCAACAATAACCCCTGTATAATGGTGGGAGGTCCTACTGGAAAGAAAAAGCCGCCAACTCCTTATGTTCCTCCTGCTAAAGAGGGGAGGGGGAGCAAGGAAGAAGAAATGAAACTCCTAGTATGGAATACCAGAGGGTTCAAGGACCCTGACAAAAATAAAGTAGTACAGTCTATAGTTAATAAGAAAAGTATTTTTTTTCCAAGTAATGACAAGAGAAAAAATAGTTAGAAACCTCTACCCAAAACCCCACCCAAAGCAACACTTAGTGAAGCCACCCTACAAAATCAAAGGACGCTACCTCTAAAGAGGACAGCAACAGAGCTTTAGGTGCCACTCTATGGGCAGCTCAGTTGGCAGTCCGCAGAACCACACTAAAAATTATACAAAGAGAGCATGAAACTAGGAGCCGATGACACTCTTGGAGTAGTGAGCCGCCTATCGAATCTTCCACTATTCTACGGTCCAGATGCCGAATCACCACTTCAGGATCACCTAGCAGCAAGGTGCTTTGCTAGATAGGGATCGAAAACTCCTTGGTGCTGAGATCCCAGGCCAGTAGAACTTGCCCGTCTGTCCCATGTATGACGAGGCCAGACGAGCAACCGGAACGACAAACAGCAGCATCAAAGATGATCTTCACAAAGTCTGGAGGCGGGCGATGCAGAACGGAAGAAGGAGAGGGCACAAGACTGAGAGAGAGGTCCTGGTGGCTGAAAGGCTAAGGAAAATTCAATGACTTGGAAATGGAATTGACGGGCAAGAGAACGGGCGTGTGGCTGAGTATATTCAAAAACCACTTTGTTAAGAGATTTCCAGATTCTCCAAAAAAGGCAAACGCATGGGAGAATGTGGGTTTGGAAGTTTACTGAAAACATAACTGTTTACGCCTAGAATGTGCTAGGCGGGAAAGTGAAGACCTTTGGAGAATACCGTTGTTCCTTGATACGTGGGTGCTGCGTTCACTGCACAAAAGGTCCGGGGCGTGGCCCGCCAACACTCTCCAACGACCAAGTCAATATTTAGAGAGAGAAAAGTAGGATAGAGAGAGTATAGAATTAGTTACCATTTAATGGGGTGGTTGGCTGCTATTTATAGTCCGAGGTGGTTGGTGTAAGTGTCTTTTCAGTCGTGCGCTTTCCCTCTTCCATGACACACGCTTACGGCGGCATTTAATGAAGTGTCAGTGATGGCATGATTGGTATGGATCCTTCCTTACTGGTCGTACTCACCCGCCTCTCGCTGGCCGTCTTACACCCGGTTCCTTATTCCCTTGGGCTGGCCCATACCTTTGACTTACTTCTCTTGGGCTTTTCCCCTTTTGGGCCGTCTCTAGTTATGTGGGCCTTGCTTTAGGCAGCGATCCCCAACGGCCCAACAATTGTCCCGCAGGCGGGTAAAGCCTCTGGGTTTGGGCGGCTGATACTCAGAATCTAGGGCGGGATCGCTTCCTAAATCAAGGGGAACGCCCTATATGGCTCTTCCCCCGGCCGTCCAGACCGAGTTTCACGCCTCGGGTTGATCTTATCCACTCGCGATTGCCACGTGTGATGCCACATCCTCCAAGCAGCCGAAGTGACGCGCCGCCTTCTGTTTCCCATCGCCATGATTACTCTATATAGCCTCTAGGGTTACTCAACCGTCGCTCCTGGAAATTGTGCCCTCCGTCGTTTAAACGCTTCTGAAGGATCAACGAAGGTATTTTCTCTTCTTTCTTTTCTTCCTCGTTTGTTCTTGGTTCTCCGGTCTCTCTGCTCACTACTTTGTGCTTTTGCTTGCCCTCTTTGCTCGAATACCCTCGCCGTCGGGTTTCCTCCACCTTGCTCTCGTAGTTCGCCGTGATCGCTATCGAGCTCGATATTCCTTTACAATGGCAGGAGCAGACGAAACTTCCCAACTGCCTCTTTCCGCCGGCTCAGGGTCCTCGCAGGGACGGAGAAAATCCACTGTTGGCGTGCTCGTCGCCGCCAATGCCGCCGGCAGCGGCGCCTCCGCCGTTCCTACTGTTCTGGCATCTGGGCCCATCAACTTAGACTCGTCGGAAACACTTACAGATCCGATAACCGCTGCCGCCCAAGGTATGCTTAATCTGAACATTTTATCGCCTTTATGTACGTCAAAACTGGGCTGGGATTTTAGCGGGATAGATTTTGATTTCGATTTCGGCGGCTCCTGGTCCGATGACGGCCGGTTCTTGCTGGGTAGGTCAGAAGACGGGTCATATGAATTGACCGATGTTACTTTGGGTTTAGGCGTAGAGAATGTAGCTTCTAGGAAAGACGCTTCCGCCATGGGGGATAACCTGGCAAGTTTTGGTGACGTCTCTTTAGCAAGTTCTGAGGAGGGGTTAAGTCTTGATGAGCAAAACTCGCCAGAAATGCCCGACTCACCCTCCTTAGAGCTTTCGGAGGACACCTCGAGCGAGGATTACCGAGTGGTGGAGGACGATGCGTATTCCATACGCCTGCATGAGCACATGTGGGGGAAGCAAGAGGTACCCGCCCGTGCATTCCAACGCGGCCCCGATCGATACAGTAGACTGACGCCCGCCACCATTCTCACGCGGCTTAGGAATCACCAGCTTCCTACGGATTGGAAATACGCGGCACCGTCTCCCACTTCCCGGGCCGGTACATGTCCCAAGGGCTGGATAACCATATACACCGAGCAGTTGAAGTGTGGCTTGCGGTTTCCCCTGGATCCCATTCTAACAGAGTCACTCCTGTGCTTGAACTGCACCCTTGGCCGCCTGTCGCCTACTGTCATCTTCCACGCATGCGCTTACAGACTCGCATGCAGACGACTCGGGGTTGAACCGTCTTTTGACGCCTTCCGATTTATATACGGTCTTCGGCGGGTTGCCAATGCTTGGTCGTTCGGACGGCGGGACAAGGTGTACGGATTCGTCACTGGGTCTCCCAAGCTTGACAATGCGTGGTTCAAAGACTTCTTTTACGCCAAGCCCACATCGAAATGGTATTCGGGTGACAAGGAACCTAGGACGGGGTTTGCGTATGGTCGGAAGGAAAATTGGGATGCTAGGCTCTGGACCCTCGATTCTCAAAAGGATCACGCCGTCCGTCTCGCCGAATTCACTCCCTTTAAAATGAAGCCCCGGGGCCCCGATTCGGTGAAGTCTATTCTGACCGAACTCTTCGGAGATGGTCAGTAGCCTGATTGACCTGTTTCTTTTATTTTCACTAGTGGTTTGTATTCT